TGTTACATCATTGAGCTTGCAAAATACAGACCCTATTTTTTTCAAATCTGGCATTTTAACAATTGATTGTGTCATGACTTTCTTTACCTGATAAAATGTCACTACTATGATTCCAGTATAACCTGGTTTCAAAATTGTGTTATGTGGTGGGCATGGAACAGACTATACTTTCATTTGTAKTCTGGTGRGTTTTAGCTGCTCAWTAAGCATAAAATTCATTCCTACTAGTACTTGTACTTCTAGTATGACTATCTTTATATTCCTACTAAAATGATRACAGAATTCTGAAGTTCTTGTAGTATTCGCCCCTCCTCAGAATAATAACCTACATGATCTATAATATTATTTCTATTCAAGCAATGTATAAGCAGCAACAATTAGATTTCCACMAGTGGCACTAGGTAGCAACACAAGACTGTTTGGAGAATGTATGTACCCACTAGACATCTTGATAGGAACCTGACATGAGTAGTGGGAATGCTATGAAGTTAAGAAATGATTGTTGGAAACAGTCAACAAATTGCAAAGGTTCATTCTATTCAGATTGCTATCAATTTAGGGAACAATAAGATCCCCTGTCAATTCGCACCTCATGCTATCAAAGAATGGCCTACAAATAAAATATGGTACTTCATACTTCATCACTACTACAACAATCATGGCGTCACAACTGTTAATGTGCTTCATTCTACGTTTAGTGCTTCATTTTCTGATTTACTTTATCGCTACTATACAATTTATTGCTACAATAATTTACAATCACGAACTCAAAAACGCAGTCTCGTGGATATATCTCTGTATCCTGCGAAATTATCTCTTCCTCCCATCTATTCTGACTTCTCCCATTTGATTTTTTGAATCGAAAACACTCATAGGGATACACTTGCTCTTCATTTCCGATCTCAACTAAATATTCCCTTCGTCAATGTATCGATCAAACATAGAACCCGAACTGAAATGAAGGGTGGCGACCTTTTCTCCTCCAGTAGGTCCCGAAACTGTCGATTGAACGAATGACTCGCTTTATTTGTTTCGCGAAGCACTTCAATTGTTGCAGTGCGGCTAATTCTAAATTATTTTCAAGGCCCCGATCAGGCTGCTCCGGGATGACAGGGTTGTCCCAGGGGTAAATCCTGCGGAACCGTCGTTGCAACGTTCGAACTGCAGTTATCAAAGTTCGATTTACACTGCCAGTACCCGGACCAGTGATCGCATATACATTCTATACTCGGACGACAAGTAAGATCCTCCCACGTGCAACCGTTATAGACGTAATCGTACGCGCATTGGAGATTGAGGGCGTATGTTTGATAACATTCTCCGAATTGGAACGTGTCTGGACACTCTCTCGCAAGTTGGTCAACGAAACTGTGTGTCGGAGTCACTGTGGGTGTCGAACTTGGCTCGTTTGTCCTCAGTTTGGTTGGCATGGCACTAGGCGGTGACGTGGGTGTCGAACTTGGCTCGTTTGTCCTCAGTTGGGTTGGCATGGCACTAGGCGGTGACGTGGGTGTCGNCACTAGGCGGTGACGTGGGTGTCGAACTTGGCTCGTTTGTCCTCAGTTGGGTTGGCATGGCACTAGGCGGTGACGTGGGTGTCGAACTTGGCTCGGTCGTCCGCAGTTGGGTTGTCATAGCACTGGKCGGTGACGTGGCTACGATAGGTGCCTCCATAAATGGCAAGCTGCCGTATGGATCGCATTCTTGTCCCCATGGCAAGCCTTCCGGTGTTACCAATCCTTGTCCTTCGCATGGCTCTGCAAAGTCGGCAGAGCACTGCCAATTGCCGTCTTGGCACTTGCATTCTACAGCAGGAGAGCAGGAAAGCGCATTCCAGGTACAGCCTTTGTACACATGTTTGAATTCGCATTCAAGATTTTCTTCATATTCGTCACATTTACCGAGTTCGAATGATTCCGGGCATTCACTCTTCTTGAGCGACGTCGGCAAGGGGTCGATTGGATCGCATGTCTTGCCCCATGGCAGTCCTTCTGGTGGGAGCCTTCCATCATTATATAAACACGGGGAAACGAAATTTCCCGCACACTTCCAAGCCCCGTCATTGCAGTCACATGTTATCGATGGAGTGCATGCAATGGCATCCCAGGAGCACCCCGTATACACGAAATCATAGTTGCATCGATATTCGTCCGAGTAAATATCGCAACTTCCAAGTCCGGGTTGGTGGGGGCATGTTCCGATGGGGTACTTGGAATGTGGCGCCGTTTCCGCGACTGGCAATGCGCCTGTGGTTGTGGTTGTGGTTGTGCTTGGCGTGGGCAACATATCGTCGGGGTCGCAAGTCTCCCCTAGCTCTGGCAAGCCAGCGCTCCGGCGTAGATTGCAAGACGATTCTTCCACAGGTGTAATCTTTGTGCAAGACCAAAGCCCTTCGTACRTATCTCCTCCCATTGGAACTCCGCAATCGCACCGCACCTTGGGTGAACATCCCAGAGTCGCCCACGTGCAACCAACGAAGGAAAAATCATAAAAGCACACCTGGCTCGGTGAAGAGTTGCTGGTTACGCAAGGTGTGCCATCTCCAGCTTCGTATGTYKGCGGGCAAGGTGAAACCAACGGTRGYGGCGACGAYGATGGTTTSTCAAACACCGCTGTACTAAAATCTGAACCGAACTGAAAGGACCACGACTTGTTGTCATCGACACCAGAGTTCGAACYGGGATCCAATCCCGCCGAAGCACCCGCAAGAATACTGCTTGCATCGGACTCGATCGCAATAGAAGGTTCCACGCTTGGAAACTGTGTTGCAGCAAAAACCATRCCTTCGGCAATGAGAAAAGGGTTCTCCATCGACAAAGAGGGAGGATTGGAAAGACTCTGACTCGGCATCCCACTAGGACTCWGACTCGGCATCTCACTAAAAGAAGTGGAAGGACCTGAGCTAGGGTACGAACTTTCGCTCGGAGGAGATGACGGAACAAATGAGGGAGAACGACTGGATCCTTTGGTTTGTTTCAACGGATGCCTGTTCATAGAGACAGGCCGTTGTGGTGGTTCTTGCTTGCTTATCTTGTTGATCGAGTTTCGTGATGGTCTCTGGGTGGTGTTGTTGTYTTTGTCGCCGCCACTACCATTGCTGTCGGAAGAGTTGGTTCTTTTCGGGGGTCCGTTCCTTTGAAGCAGTCCATCGATGCGACTATCGGCTGGTTTCGTCTGCTCCGAAGATAAAGGGAGTTCTGCCTCCTCTCCGGATACTTTTTGGATGCCGTTGATCTTGTTGCCGGCACCATTTCTTTCGAACAGCTTATCGATTTCGTGTTGCTCAACCGTCGCGATAAAGTCATCGTCCTCATCTTCCGTACCCTCCGGTATTTCGACGGTTGAGATGAACAAGTCGTCTACTTGTTTTGAATTGTCGTCGAACAARGAAGAAATGTCTTCACCGGACGATGCATTTGTTGGTTCGCTCAAAGTTGTCGGTTCTGGTTTGTTGCTCTGAACGAAATACGCCACCACCACTGCTGTTAGTAAAGTGAACACCAGGGCCAACTGCACCGCAATCACCTTTTTCATGCATTTCTCTCTCATCTTTTTCCGGTGCGCTTTGCACGTTTTTGCTACGTTYAAAAGTATGTRATCTTAATCGATATCAAAAATTCTCTTTCTTGTTGTSTTTGTATGGTCTGAGACGACGCTCTAGAAAGTCTGAAAAGCYGTGGTAGCAACTCTTCGGGTTGTCTGGTACTGTACTTCGATGCCGATAGTGCGGTACAGGTATGACGTTTCTGGCGGATTTTCTTCGGTTTGAATTTGTGAGTGGCAMAGAAGAGGACCCCGCAAATTATTACCTCGCCTTGTTGCCAAAAAACAAGYCCCCGTAGCTTGGAAAGGCAACGGCCAGTCCGATACAAACGGCTACTTCGAAAWAATTAGTTTCAATGAATATGTTGATGTTGCGTCGAGTACGAGCCCACATGCCCCGCGAAAACTAAGCCCCTGGCAAGTCATGCCCAAAATTTAAAAATTTGGAGGTTGGTCTTCGAAAGCTGATSATTTGGGGTGAGACAAAAATGCACGTACTCACACGGCGTGCACAGACCGTGACTTGCTGTAACATATGCCCCAATGTTGACATCGACATACCAGAAACTTCCCATTCGTGACGTCCTTTTTTCCACGCAGTTCGTCGTCTGTTTGTGTGTGGGAGGAAACATTGCGACCACTGTTTACCAATTAGCGAACCCCGACCAGGASTAGCCTACTGATTGTGACCAGTACGTAGGTATCTAACGAGTTCCGGTATTGACAGTACGAGTACTCGTACTACGAAGTCAAGTGAAGTTCCACAGATAAAATTCGTCGAAGTAATGTCACATGAAATACGAAAAAATCACATGATGGTAAAGGCTCGTTTGAAACAGCCCAACGGATTGGACAGCATATCCAAGAGAAGCAAGAATAAAATCACACCCACCAACAATCGTATGGAAAAGTAACTCAGCCGCCACACCGGAGGATAGACGATCAAAAAGAACCCATTATTGAACAAACACACAAAGTACCATACTGTACTCTCCAAGGAAAATCCTTTCAGAAATTGCAACAAAGAAGCAAGTCACACAGATTGAAAGACTCCTTTCATCGAAAGAACAAGTCTCTGGAAATCAAACAAGAAAAATACCTCGGGAATAACACATATATCCCGATTTAGCTGCCTCGCCGAAATTACCACACAYTACCCACGACAACAATACGAACAAGATGGCAAGGTTGACATCAGTCTTGGCTTCGTTATTCCTGGCAAGAGCAGCCGCCATCGATTCGGAGCTTGCCCGCAGCACCCAGCTCCGAGGCAGCAGCAGCAACTACCACCACAACGAACCCCGCGATCTATCGAGTGCCCTCGTGCCGAGCCGCGATGCCCGACCAAACTCTGCCGTGGACTTTTGCCCGGACGAAAGCCCCCAGGTAGGGAGCCGGTGCCGGACCACCGGACAGCGGTGCCACTATGACTACCGCTACAGCGGTTGCACCTGGGAAGACCTCTCGTGCAGCCCGGGTCAAASCTGTTCCTGCCTCAAGAGCAGCAGAAACGGTTCGGATATCAGCACGTGGCAATGCATGATCCTGGATCCTGTGCCCTGCAGCGTCATCGCTACGCCTGCAAACCCAACCCCCGAGGGACTCCCCGAGGGTGACTGCGAGGCCGGCACGGCCCTGCCAACGCGACCCGTTGCCATCGACGAAGGCGAAGTCGGAGATCTCTGCCCGGCTGCCATGCCCCGGCCGGGAAGCAGCTGCCAGGCCATCGGAGAGCAATGCGATTTTGGCTACGTCTACAAAGGCTGCACCTGGGACACGCTCTCTTGTAGTCCCAGCCGAACCTGTTTCTGCAGAGAGAACGGCATTTGGGCCTGCAGGRTTATGGAATCCCAGCCCTGCAGTCTAGCGGCTACCCCTGCGAACCCGGTTCCGGCAGGCCTTCCCGAGGGAGACTGCGATTCCAACGCGGCTCTGCCCACCGAAATCGACAGCGGCGAAGAGRCAAGCATCGACACTTGTCCGGCCTCGATGCCCCAACCCGGGAGCCGCTGCAAGACCACTGGAGAACGGTGCGATTTTGGCCACAAATACAACGGATGCACCTGGGAGAGCCTTTCGTGCGTAGCCACTCGCGTCTGCAMMTGCGACCAGGACCGAAACGATCCAACGGTCAGCCTCTGGGCCTGCAGGGTTTTGGACGTCCAGCCGTGCAGCTTCCTTGCGTCCTTTACGGACCTTCGGGTTCCGGAGAATCTTCCCGAGGGAGACTGCGATGCCAGCCTCGCACTGCCCGGCCCGGACGGGGACATCGACGAGACCGACGTCCAGCCAAACGAGGACGGCATCATCTGCCCGCGTTCGCCGGTGAACAGCGGTGGATGCGATGCCTCCCAGGTCGGTGCCACCTGCAACTACGACTACGTCTATTCGGGKTGCACCTGGGACGAGCTGCAGTGCTCCTGGACCACCAGCTGTGAGTGCGTCCCCGACCGTTCGACCAATTCCAGAGGAGGAAACTGGTTCTGCCTGGCCAGGGCTGCCGCGCCGTGCTTTGGCGGGTTTTCCAACGGGAGGGAAATCGATCCCGCTCTCTTCAGCTCGGCCTTCGACAGCGAGTTGGACGACGGCAGCAACGCTACGGACGTCGAAGAMTCTCTTCCCAGTGATCAACTTTTTGCTGAAAGCCTTCCCGAGGGCCTGCCCTACGGACAAAAGTGCGACCCTTCCGCGGAACTCCCCACCGAACCAGCCTTTGAGTTCCGTCCGGTCGTCGAAAACGGGAACTTTACGTTCCGCCCCGAGCCGGAAAATGCCACGGAACCCGTCTTTGTCTTCCGGCCGGAGGTCGACGAGGCAGAYGCCACCGATTCCTCCGAATCCCTGGTGGGCCGCCTCAGCGACGAGTGYCCGGTCGAGCCCCCGCCTCCCGGGTCGAGMTGCATCGAGTCCCACCAATCGAAGCTTTCCTGCCCGTACAACCATATCTACACCGGGTGTTTTTGGGACGCCATCCAGTGCAACCCCATCCAGTGGTGCACGTGCGACAATTTCGGAGACGGGACGTGGGCCTGTGCGTCCATGGCCATGATGGCCTGCACCACCAAGATACCGGGACTGCCGACCTTCCAGTCCTGCAACCCGGACGATCCGTTGCCGCTTCCGCGGTCGGCCTCGGTAGTACGAGACATTGCGAAGGGCGGTGGCTCTCTGCCGTAGAACCCAAAGCTGCTACCRGCACGGTGCAGCCCGGATGGCACTCTTGTGTGTGTGAGAGAAAAAGTYGCCGTTGCTTTGCAGTGGGAACCGAGACAACGGCAGCATCGCCCRAAGGAACCGAATAGATAATTCTTTGAAGAATAAGATTGCGTGCATAGCACAGACTGCATGCACGACCATGCATGGCTCCATTTTACATCGGCGTGACAAGTGATTGATAACAACAATATTATATTAGAGGTACATTTTAATACAGTATGCTGCATTAGAAGCTGGCCATATTTGCCTTCATGTCGAAGGTACACCGTTTGGACATGCATTTCTCAGCACTTCTGAAGATTTGGAGAGGAGGTCCATTGGTCCATTGGTTTTTCTGTTTTAAGAGTGTTTGGTTGTTGCTTATTTAGGTTCCCTCGGCTATGGATACGACAACGATCGTTGCGCTCGGTTGGCGATGGCATTGGACGAGTYCATTGATTCTGATCTCCGCCATCAGTCTTGTCCACAATGCTTCTTTGCCGCCATTTACCATTGCTCCGCTTCATTGGTTGATTGTTGATTGAGAGCTGGTACAAAAACTACAACGGAAAATGGTTTGAAGACCAATTATAAAACCATTTTCCGATCGCGCCATCGCCAGAAGGACTTTCAAAGAGGATATCAATGATTGTTGGTTCCTCTCTAGGTTTCAGCTACTATACATAGATAGCATCAATACATTTTTGGAGATTACATTATTAGTAGAAGATGATTAAGTTTCTATTGGTATTCACATGCGTGCCAAATACTATGGAACAAATATCCGAACACGCCCGCCTCGAACGGCTTGACTCTATGTTCCCCACAATTCTGTTCTTGCGCCTCCGATGGCGCAATGTCTTCCGCAGCGGACCTCAATCGCCACCGAGGCCYGATAGGTCTTGGTAGATCAGTCCCAGCGCTTTGGCCTCGGGTTGTTGTTCCTGCATYTCACCKTTCTTCTCGAGGGCCGCAGAGTCAACCACCGAGGTCTCGTTCTTCTCGAGGGCCGCAAAGTCAACCACCGAGGTCGTGCCCGTRTCTGTGGCCGAGGTCGTGCTCGTGGTCGAGCCTGTGGGCTGAAAGGTCGTTGGCTCAGAGGTGGGAACGGTCGGTGGTTTTGTCGGGGCCGCGGAGGGTTTCGCCGTGGGGGTCGGAACGGGGTTGGGGGTGTCTTTCTTGGACTTTTTGTCCTTCTTGATGCTCTTGGCGCTTTTTGCCATTTTCTTGTCACTCTTGTCCTTCTTCCCGTCCTTGGCGGCGCGGAGGAATTTCTTGGCAAAGTCTTCCTGCGGGCTCTCTTCCGCCGCCGCCGAGACGACTTCTACGACCGCCGCATCCTGAAAGGGAGCAATCCTCGTAGCGTCGTCGATCTGGATTCCAAACYTGCTGTCGTTGTCGTCKCCATCGGCCGTGAGACGGTTCCAGCCCATGCTCAACCCACGGCGGTTTTGCTGTTTTTGTTGGTGATGCTGCCGCCGCCTCTGTGCATTCTCCTCCCGCAATTGGGATGCCAGCGTCACTTGCAGGGAAACCAGCAAAAGAACGGCATGTGCCATTGCCGCTGTCGAAAGAAGGTTCTTCATTGTGGCGGATCGTGTTTTGCGTGGTTTAGACCGGAGTTCGGATGTGTTTTCTTGTCTAGTGGCAGTAGTGCGTCGTGTTGCGTCGCGGAATGGAGTGGTGCAACCGAGTTGGAAAAGATGGTTYGTTTGGAATGCCTCGATAAGATCGGTGCAATAAAGTGGTATGWTTTAGGAAGGTGTGCTAGGTGTATCSAACCTTTGAAAAAGTTGGGGGAACACTCCGTGCCTACTATAATGAAAACTTTCGTTGTGTTTCCAATGCATACCGGTATTTGTTTTGAATTCTACCACATGAAACGTTGATGGTTTATCGTTGACTATAACGTGACAACACAAAAAGGTTGGCTGGAGGCATATTCTAACCGCCAGTCACACACAACGAGTGAACAGGCAATAAATATTTTCTGTTTCCTACCGTTCTGGGTGTGTTCAACCATAGGGAAAAGTAGTACGAAGTTAATTTGTACTCGTGCCGGTCAGAATTTGAATTTCTCCCGACCCATGCTACGAAATGGGACTTCTTGGTTCCTTACGAACCAGTACCTTTCCTACGATACAATTACGTAGTCCGCACGCCCGATTTCTTCTCCAACGGGATTTCTCGCATCTTTTTTTAAAAAAGTCGGAGTACAGTAGCGCTACTTGTACGAACTTGCACTTTAAATCAGTTCGTACGATTCAGGTACAAGCATAACGGTACCCGACGACGATAGTACCGCACCATACTACAAATGCATATGATACATAATAATAGTACGTATCTCCCATGAGCTTGGGTTTGAAAAGTGTTGCTGGGGCGGGAAGATCATTTAACGTATTACTGTATGATTCTGTATCCTACCGTACGTACTATGATTCGTGTAAGATCTCTCGTTATCACTGCAGTACTTGGGCTACGGTACTCGTACTTAGTACGCCGTGGGTAGATGAAAGAATATGATCCCTAACGATGCCTAAAATTGTTGCTTCCGAGAGAAGCTGTACACAATGAATGGAAATAAGGTTAGAAGGAAGTGCGTTCTAGACCGATTTCTTTTTGTCATTTATGGAACGTACAATTCGTATGAACCCATAGAGTCAAAACAGAATTGAGAAGTATCAGAACATATCATGACATATCAAGCAAAATCCAGCTAGAGCAAGACGAGCACAATATTGAACATGGTACAGCCGGCCGAGAAGCATAAGATGAACACAGACTCAATTTCTTATTGTATCCTAAGACAACAAATAGAGATTTTCTTCTCTAGAGTTGAGAATTCGCAGCGCAACCGAGTTCTCAAAAGACTGTGGTGGTGGTGGCGGCGGTGGTGCTGCTGCTATTTTGATATTGACATTGACAAACAATCCAACCAACTGTTTTGTTCGTAGTTGCTGGTTCTATCAACTGCTAGACTCCGCTGCCTTGAAAAATGGTAGGCTCCGGTTGTTCCGCAGGAACGGGCATGAGACGTACAGCTCGAGGCGGAGGTGCTCCTCCCWTGTCAGATCGCTTTGCTCAACCAGAGCCGGATCGATGCCGGTCCTACCGAGAAAGTCTGTGAGGTCTCGAACGGGGCCGTGGCCCGGGATGCTCCAGGTTCCCTGAACTTGATTGTAATCCATGCCGAGCCTACGAAAGAGGTGTGTTATCCTGGCCGAAGATCCATTCCCCCCAGCCGACGTCGGCGACTGCTGGTCGAGACGGTTCGAAATCACGGAAACGTCCTTGCTCCCGAGGAGTCGTTCGACGCGGTGGTAGCAGACCCACGCCATGAGTGCCTGAAAGCGTTCCTCCTTCTTGGCGGTTCGGTCTTTGATGCCTCTCTTGAGGGGGACCCCGTGCTCGCACATGTGGGAACGATAGTCGTGGAGGGAGGAAAAGGTTTCCCCCCCAGGCATCTTATAGGTTCTGCCGGTGGTGGAGGTGTTCGTTTCCTCTTCTTCGTCTCTACTAGAGGCAGCAGCAGCGGTGCTGCAAAAGACATGCCCGGCCTCTTTGAGAGTCTGTGACACATCGTAGAAATTGGGGATCTGCTGCACGTCCCTGGAGCGATATCGTTCCAACAGGGATGGATTGGTCACCCGGTTGGTGAGATAGCTTGTGTCGTTGTCCATGCTTATCTTTTTGGCTTCCTTTGTCGTTCGCAGCTTCTTCCTTGGTTTCGCCTTCGATGGTCTTGCAGTCGAAGCATTTGGAACGTCCCGTAGGCCAGAAGCGGGTTTATTCTTTCTCTTTCTTGCGCTGGAAGGAGGGGCCTTGCGCTTCTCTTTCTGTCTCGCGGAGTCTGTGCTCCCGGCTTGGTCCTTCTCTTCTGGAAGGTGATGGGACCGGTCCGGACCGTCTCCGGAAGCTGTTGCTCTTTCTGTTGCTGCCGCTACATTATCATCGTGGTAGTTACCGGCAGCGGACCGGGCCACCACCCACGAGGCCTCGCTCGATGCGGCTGGGTAGCCGGAAATAAGGCAGGAGTTCCTCGCGACCACCGCGTAGGAAACGAATGCCGAGCTCTTGACCCTTTCACAATCATAGGGGAGGATCCTCCGGGCGTCGTTCCACAGCGAAGGAGGCGGATCTCCGAACAAAAAGATGCACGTTCTGCCGTTGCGGTTGGTTCCCGCGGCGGAGAGGACCATCACAGTGTCTCTCCACAGCAACGAGCAGAGCGGATCATCTACCCCGGTTGTTTCGCTCCGGTTCGCCGCCCGTTGCTCCGTTGCCGATCGCTCCTGCCGGCGAGCCGCGATTGCTACGGGAAAGGTGGTCGGATCCTTGATCAGAATGGCGGGCCAGTAGACATTGAGGTCCGCGTTGCTCGTATCCCCGTTGCCTTCTTTCCCGGCCACCATCCTGAAGAAGCAGAGCCTCTCGATCGAAAGCTCCGGCTCATTGTGAACAGCAACATCAAACTGCTGTCCATCGAGTGTGCCTTCGCCGGGGCAAGGGCTCCCTCTCAGAGATGACGATCCCGACGGCTGGGATGGATCGAGAGACAACAGCCGGACTGCCTCGCGAAAGGCCCTGGAAAGAAGTAGCTCCAATGGATCCGTCGACAGAGGAATCGCGGAGCGCTGCCGCCAGGGATCCTCCGTGTCGGATTCGTTCGAAAACACACGTGCTAATCCTAACACGCTCGTCGCTCTCCAAAACCAGCCTTGTGTGCCGCAGCCGATTTTCGGTTTCGTTTGTGGCCGGCCTTGAGGCGAGCAAGACTGCTACCCGCTGCTTTGGTTCCAGTTTCCGGTTGCCCTGCCGGAGATTGCGCAAGCGGTACTCCCTGAGGTTGACTTCGGCTTCCACGGTTGCCAGTGTGCCGTGGGACACAGCCTCTCGCAGCTCGATGCGGTGCCGCTCGTAGTCCTCAAGGTCGTCAAAGACAATAGCCGGCCAAGAGGTAAGAGCACACATCGCGGGAGTGTCGGTAGTTCTGAAACTGGGAATCCTTTCGAGGGGGTAATCGATTAGGGTCACGAACCCTACCTTCCCCCGAAGTCTACGCATTGCATTGTCGGTGCTAGTGCTAGTGCTAGTGCTAGTGCTAGTGCTAGTACTAATGCTAGTAGTGAGGCTAGTTCCCGCTCTACGGGGAGCAGTGAGTTCGGGAGCAGTGCAATTCGCTTGCGTTGGATTGGATTGCGCCTGCATTCTGTTATAATTTTTCTTTTGCTCTGCTGTTTTCTGTTATTTTCTAATTTGTCTTTTTCGAAGAAATAAGACGCTGATCAATTACAAAGAAGAAACAACACGAATTGCATCGCTGATCGACTTTGAATAATGACTAATTTCAATAATCTCGCGATGCCAATCCATTTCTGTCTTGCTCTCGATCGGCCTTGCTTGGCACGGCAGGAGGTAGAAATGCCACATCGAGAGTGACGGATAGGTCATTTTCATATGGTCAGTTAGGCCAGAGGGTCAACAGAGTCCACATATCGAGTCCACATACCACGAAGTGCTGCGAAGTACTCGTAAGAGTGCTAACTACTGGAAAATTAAGGTACAACAAAAAACCTGTAATTATTAGTCGACAGTACTAAAGAGTACTGCTTACTACTGGAAATAAACACCTCCAAAGGAACTCATTACTACTGATTCCTACAAGCACCTCAGGCCCAATACCTTTGGTACTGGAGGTGTTGCTAATAGTTTTAATAGGAATACTGCTTACTATTTCGTAACAGCTATCTAACATAACACGTAACACAGCATCGAATCGCAGCAACGAATCGATTGCTTCCATGTTGTTGCTTGACTTCATTGAAGCCAAGTCTGCTCGAATGGTCTTGAGAAATATTGGTCTGCCTACTAGGAAGAAGATGATTTGTTATATCAAATAGTATGCATACTAATAGAAAGATCAGTTTCCACATTGCTGGTGCTGCATTTGACGGAACGGAAGCCTTTTGTTGTTAGTACTGTTTTGCTTTAAAACAACACTAGAAAAAGTCATAAGATATTTTAGAACCGTGGACGACAATGGGATCTATCATATCGTTTCCCCTCCTTCTCGCTCAACACCAAACCACGGCAACTTTTTCGTACGATACTACTTCTCGCCGTCGCTTTGTCCCCCCTCGCTTCTTTGCCCCCGCTTTTTGGACCGTCGACGCCATGACGGTAGCAGCAACCGTCTTGGTCCTGGGCCGAACCAATCCACACTTCTGCAGCGTCCAAACCCCGACGGCGAAGTCCTCCGTCGTTCCGTCAAAGGAACGGAACCAATCGTCGCGTTCGATCGACAGGCTTCCCTCCATGGCTTGGTACAACTCCCGAGCTCCCCGCGGGAGGTTGTCCAGGATTCGCCTGCGGAAATTCGCCGGTTTGGAAATCGAAAGCTCGGTTCCGAAGCTAGACGCCGCTGATTCGGCCGMCATCAAGGGATTGCGCTCGATCCACCTGCGAGTCCACGCTTCGACCTGCCCAAGTGCGAGTCGATTCATTTCTAGAATGGCTTCTTCGACTCCCCTGTCGATCTCGTGGCTCTCCCCACGACGCCGGTCTTCTTTGTCRTCTCCCCTCTTGCTTTCGCTGTCCCGGGCATCGACGAGGATTACCAGCTGCCGTACCATGGTGGTCAGCAATCGAACCACGGCCCGATCGCGGCTCGAAACTCGGTGGCCCGATTCGTCCCCGCCACCGGTGGAATCCTTTTCGCCGCCCGCCAGACCCCCCCGCTGCAGGTAGCGCCGAAGAATCGCCCCCGCAAAGCCCCCGTCCCCGGGCTCTGGCTCCGCAAGATCGCCTTGCGATTCCTCCAACACGAGACGGCGATAGACCTCGGCCAGCCGCGCCAGCACCCACGGGCCACAGAGAACGTCGCACCGTTGCCCAACGGCCGTTCCTCCCCCGCGGCCCGCTGTCGTGAGTGCTAGGATGCGCAGGGGCAACAGGGAGCAAGAAACGGACCACCAAAAMCGCAGTCGACGGCCGGTGGATGGCGAAACCGTCGCGCTTTGTTCGCCTTTCGCATCGGAACGCGGATCCAGCAGCCCGGAACACTCCAGCAGGCCTTCGCACTTGTCGGAAAGGTTCATCCCGGCCTTGTCGGCACCCGCGTTGGCCGACAACAGTTTGTGGGCCTTGGGGTAGGAACAAAACCAAGCCACCAATTCGGGATAAAARAGATGGATCGCGTCGGTCCCCGCCTCGAAGGGTTGGAGCTGCAGTTGCTCCTTTGGGGAGGAAGCGTCGRTTYCGGAAGCTCTTGCCCCTGCTCCTTTGGGTCGATCAACCCCCCTCCAGACCCCGGGGGCACCTTCTTCACCGGATCGCGAAASAGAACCGTGTGGGARCCCCGAGGGCGAGTCCCTTTCGCCGTTGCCATAACCGCGGGCTTTCTCCGGATCCGCCTCGAGGGCCGTTCTCGGGTGGAGGGCGTCCCAGACAAAGGATCCCCTCCGAGTGTAAAATTTCGTGGTGATTCTCGCCCTCAGGGCCTCTGTCCAGGAACTGCACGACGATTCGTGGCGGAGGGTTTCCGAGCAGAGCTCCAGGATCCCCTCGGTGGAAGATGGAGCACCGGGAAAGCTGCTCCCGCCAAGGGAATCCGAATCCCCGTCTGCATCCGCGGCCATTGGTGCCAGCAGGGGCATCGGGGCGTCCRCCAGCTCTYGCAAGAAATAGTGCGTCCAGAGGGCGTAGGCYGYGGCYGCCGGTGGCAGCGGTGCTTCCAYCCTCTGGCAATGCACCGGCACACCGCCCGGAACCGAGCACCGGAGGGTTCTGGCACCGAACCGCCCCACGGAGGGATTCAGCAGGGGGTTGTTGTGGCTGTTGCTGTTGCTGCTGCCGCGGGCCTGTCGGCCCGGAGAAGAGCTCCCCCCGGCATCGAGGACCACCAGCGAGACGGGGATCCCGTGGAGGCTCCTCCAGGCCGCCAGTGTCTCCAGCAGCTGGGCCTGCTGCAGGTGGCTGTGGGGTGGGACGGCGGCATGTGCGGCACTCGCGTTGGCACCCGGGAGGCCAGAGCCAGCGCTTCCGCCGCTGCGGGACGGGGTGGCCCTCGGGTGGACGATCCGCGGGTCTTCCAGCAACACTACCAGGCCRCGGTAGGACCCGCGGCGGGATCGACCCTTGTGGCCGTTGGCTGATTCGGTTTCGGTCTCGCTCGGCCGCATAAACTCTCCGGGCTCCTCAAAGACGTGGGTGAGAAACTCGAGGAGGACGTCCTGGAGGCTCCGCTGCTTCTTGGTCGTGTGGGCACCGGTGGTCCAGCCCGGGGTTTTCCCGGGCCGGCGGTGGTGGTTTCCGAGCGCAAACGAAGAAACACCACCACCGGTCTCCGCGATGCGCTGGTAGTGTCCCTTCTTGGAGRAGTGGTAGGAGTGGCGCCTCGCGGCCAGACTCAGAGGGTTTGCGCAATAGGAGGGATCGTCTGGGTCCCTCTCCGGGGCATCGTGGGTGTTCTCAAAGTGGTGGAGCAGGCTTTCCCACAGAACCCCCAGCGTTTCGTTCCAGCTGGAGAGGAGGCGGGGAAGGTAGAGACAGATCGTCTCGTCGTTGCGGAGGTGGTCGATCTCCTCCGCAATCCCCGGCAGCGAATTGAGTTGGCTCCACATGGCCCGGGACATCCCCAGCCGGTCCCGCAGACAATTCGAAACGAGCGGGGAGGATACCACCACCACGGGTAGCACCTCCGGTGGATACCGCACCAGCAAAGAACCGGGAAGGGGGTCTTCCTTGGTAGTTTGAGGGTTGGTGCAAGCCGCCCCTGCGGAAACTGTAGGAGTAGGCATCCCGAAGAACTGTTGGCATTGATCCCAGTCGTCGCCATCGCCATCGCCATCGCCATCGTTTTCGGTTTCGTCGACGTGGTTGCTGTCGGCGGTGTTGGCATTGCTTGCATTGTTCAAACTGCCGTTACTTCCACCGCTGCTGCTGCTGCTGCTGCTGCTACCTGTGCCTGTGTCCAGAGCCGTCTGCAGGCGAATGTACCCGCAGACCGGACCGACCAGCCTCTCAAAGGCCCTCGCGGAGGCTTCCTCGAGGCGCTTGTTCCAGCACCGAACAGATTCCTGCCGGAGCCGTATCTCGGTGGTGACCGTCGAGGTGGTGATCCGTTCCAGATAGGAGGCCGACTGCTGGTAGGAACGGGATGGGTGGGAGACCCCGCTGCTTCCGGTGCTGGTGGCGTAGCTGCAGTCCTCCTTGCGYAGGTGTTGGCACCAGGAGGGGAGGGAGGGATCCCTCGGGGCTGCTTGTTTTTGGGTTCTGGTTCCTCTTCCTGTTYCTGYTCCGATTGATRCCTGGCTCGCGGAGCACGGTGCCTGTGYTGCTTCGCTAGAACTTCTTCYGGGTTGGCTGCGGGTTCGCCGCATTTCGTCCCCGCGAGGCAATCGTTGCCGAAACGATGGAGCGAGACGGGCGTTACAGGGTTGTTCGATTCGGGCACAGATTCAGGAACCGCCAATTCTGTCCTAATGAAAAGAGGGGACWCCGGGATCAATGGAGGTAGGCATCCACTCTGGTAGTGAAGTAGGGTACCGGCACTGTGCCATAATTTGCATCACACTTTCGAAAAACGTRGGAATGCATCCATTGTGTGCATCAAAATCGGATCATAGGAGACCACGGCGTGTCACGACGCTAATCATCGGCTGGGAAAAAAGTTTGTGTTGCTTTTCTATTCTACTGTATCGTTGCAAGGTTTACAGCTGTAGTACTAATAGTCGTACAACGTACAGCTCGATACAGTGGGTTTTGAGGTTCTAACGAGACCGACTCACTCGACTCATTGTGACGAGCTGTGCGTTCGAGTTGCGCTGTGTAATACTTGATACAGTATTGTTCATACATATGTATCATATGTTCCAATATCCAAAAAACTATGATGATGTCATCACTTCACTTCTTTCGAAAAACAAAATCCAAACCGACGTTCCATCGTTTGTCCCGATGGACTACGGTATTGGCATGTGCACATCCGATCGATGACAAAGATCCCGCATCATACAGAAGGTTGCAAAGCAGTCACAGCACACGGTACTDGTGGGTTGTTGCTATCGGAGAACCTTACTGATCACGAAGTATCTCGCAATCCTCTGCGTAATATCCCGCCACACAGGTGCCAACGTACGGTAGCCAGACCCAGAAAATCATGAAGACTTCCACGCGATCCCTCCGTGMGGTAGTGGGGGTCGTCCTCCTTTTCGTTGCCGTGCACGTCCGGGCGTTCTCCGGAACCCCCTGCGGTCCGACGGCACGAACGCCGCCCGGGAGATCGATCGCTCTGCAGGCCCTTGGCCCAGAAGGTCTTTCCGGCGGCAAAGAGAGCAGCGGCATYCGGCGAGCGAACGACGGAATCGAGACTCCCGTCGGCCGGAGGGCAGCGATGCAGCGCACGATTGCGATCTCCGCGGCGGTGGCAATCCCCGGCGCGGTTCGGCCCCCCGCTTTCGCCGGGGAAACGCCGCTGCCGCCAAACCCCGGTCCGGAGCGTTCGGTCGAACTCGATTGCCTGAGAGACCTCCCCCCGGTGACGGAGGGCTGCGTCCGCATCTATCTCTGCCGGCACGGCCAAACGGAGAACAACCGGCTGCGGATCGTGCAGGGGGCGCGGGTGGACCCGCCCGTCAACGCCAACGGGGAAAACCAGGCGAAAAASCTCGGGCTCGCGCTGGCGCGTGCCGACCCGAAACCCGAGCTCTTTTTCTCCTCCTCCCTGCTCCGCGCAAGGATGACGGCCGAGATCGCCGCGAACGCCGACCGCTCGCAGGCCGACCGGCTCTTGCCGCGGCAGCTGTCCGTCCTGTCGGAGGTCGATTTCGGAGCCGTCGCGGACGGCCAGCCCATCAGCGTGGTACAAGAGAAAATGACCAAGACCTACACCAGGTGGTCCATGGGGGATGTCGACTACAGGCCCGAGGGAAATGGTGACAGCGGAAGAGAGGCAAGTCCCGAACGATTCGACCTGGATTCATTGGACGTGCATCGATGCTCTAGCATTTCTTTGTGTTGTTTCTAACAAGATTTTGAATCCTATGTCCCAATGCCCATCCAGGTTCTTTTCCGTGCCGTCAGCGCTATCGAGACGCTCGTGACCGAAGCGAAGGCTGCCGGTGTTCCATGTGTCGCCGCAGTTACCCATTCTGCGTATCTCCGTGTTCTGGTTGGCATGGTCTTGAACGAGCCACTCCTCCAATCCTCGGTCMGAAAGATTCGGAACGGAAGCGTCACGGTCATCGACGTACCCGAAGATCTTCCCTCGRAGATGATCGGCGCAAAGCCAAAGCTACTAGGGGGATGGTTGTCGCAAAAACCAAGAGATTTTACCCTCTCCATTCCAACTTGCAAGACGATACGCATCAACGAAACTCGGCATTTGCCTCTCGATKTGATATAAGCAGCTCGTYTTCAAATTATTGAAAAGCAAGAAATTTCATGTTGGCCAAGAGGCCCAGATGTCATAGTTCTTGTCTAAGAGATTGATTAGGATACTAGCGTTAGTGACCCAAAAAAAACAGATTTTGTCTCTTTGTATAGGAACCAGTTTTAGATCGAACTCATTTCGATCTCATGTTTGGCAAACATTCCTATCGTTTAACAGTCATGCGTGTGTCTGCTACTCTTAGGGTATTAGATAAATGGGAAGTAACACTGGGTTGATTCCTCTGTGCAAACGTCCGTGCACTCCTTGCCATTTCCGGTGGGACAAGCACTAGCACACTTTGCAACTTGGTCGCTAAAGTCGAATAATCTCAATTTATCATTGTCGAAACATAGACCACCCTAACGACAAAAGTGGTATGAAAAARTTGCCGTGAGAAGAATGAAATTAGAATAACGAAGCGAACCGAACAAACAAAGGTTGGGATTACTTACGATGCTCCCAATGCAGATGATTAAGATCATGGCAAACAAGGCAATGCAGACATTCATTACGGAGCCGACGAAATGATAGTTCAAGTCAAYTGCTTCCTTCTTCTTGCGCTCGCGCAAGACTCGTCGCTTACGCAAAAGTCGGTTTTGCTTCACYTCCCCACTGTATTTGGCTCTGCTTATTTCTTCCATGCTCGTGTAAGAACCTGAATTGCTCCAAATGGAATCCGAGCTCAAACTTCTRGACCGTGAGCGTGCTCCCATTCTGTATGACGAAGGTTTTCTTACGTTTTTAGACATTCTCGCAGGTGGTTGCGATGCCATGTTTGATATCATACGCTGAGCTGGAGGTCGGGGTCTTTGGGGTTTCATCGATTGTTTCCCTCCCAGACTCTCCCCCGAGAGTGGTCGTTCGTCTTGAAATTGTTCATCTTCACCAAAACTGTGACCCGATAAAGAATCTTCGTCGCTACTATCATCAACATCGTCGTGATAAACAGGGATCTTCGGTCGACTCCTCTGCGTGCTTCTGCCCCTTTCAATATCATTGGTTGAGCTATGGTTGGAGCGATGATGAGAGGACAATTCGCGTAAATTTCGGCGACTTTTCTTWRCCTTTTCTAGGTCTTCTTCGACTTGCTTCAACTTGAAGCATGTCTCGTAATACATTTTTGCATTGACCTTGTACACTAGAAATTCAAAGAATATGGCAGCTGCYTCGATCACCCACATCGTCGCAGCTGCTGGGATACCATCTTCCAAGAACAATCCAAATGTGATAAGGAATCCAATCGTTGGATTCACGATGTTAAAAGGCACGCCATTTCGAATAACAGGAATGATTTCTGCAACAATCAACACCAAGTACAGAACCGTGATAGTACGGAATAGAATGTTCCAGTCAATGTCCATTATAATATCCCAAATGGGCTCTCCGCAACACGCAGTAGAACCTTCATAGTCCGTAAGGGAAACTATTGCCGCAATGAAATCTAAGGACAAAGCARTCCACGTGAATATGCGGATTTGTTTTTCCGAAGAAGTCTCATTCTTGTGCGGCGGTAGTATACGTATGTATCGTAAGGCAGCTTTCCATTTTGGATCGTCATCGAAGCCCTCCTTCGAATCGACGGACATCATCGATCGATTGCTCCTGAACGAATGAGTTGTAAGACCCATGAAACTCGCCGTTCCCTGTGAACCAGATTTCTTCAATCCTGATCGAGAACTCGACCGTCCGGATGAATCTTTCTTGTCGCTTCCGTTGTGTTGGATATTTTGAGGCCCATCGTCACCCKCCGTACCGTCGTCGAACCGAATCGGTTCGTTGAAGTCTTCAGAGGAATCGTTGTCGCTATCACGATCGGATGAGACGAAAACATTGTCAGAAAAAACCACAGAGTTGTTGCTCGAAGAAATTGCAGAAGGTACAGAATGATTTGATGATTTTGGAAGAGATGTTCTGCTGTGGTGGGAACTGCTTCGAAGAATGCTTCTTGGCTCTTGGAAACGCAAGGAAGAGTTTAGCCGAGTCGGAGAGAGACTAGCACTGACAGACGGCATCTTTGACGACCGTTTTCTTCGGCTTCTACTTCGGGTGTTGGTCGCAGCTTTGCTSCCAGCATCGTCGTCGTCTTTGTCAACRTCACCGGGTGGCTCAGACAAACTCCGACGCCGTGACCGTTTCACGGATCTTTCAGACTGCAATTCCTGCAGCAATTCTACGTGCTCGTCGGGTGCCAAAAGGAGGCTACCTTTTCGCTGAGAAGGAGGATTTCGAAGAGAGGAATTGTTGCGACGATGTGATTTTTGTTGTCGCATCGATGGTGCAGGATCAGCATACATGCTCGTTCTCTGAAGGCGTTGGTCAACGGATATTCTTCTATCCTGCTCTCCTCGTCCTCGTCCTCGTCCTCTTCCTCGTCCCCGTCCACGTCCCCTTCCTCCTCGGTTCGGCCGTGTCATTGATGCACTTGTGTCCCGATCGAAACTTCTTCTAGATTGTGGTGCGCGTGGGGAGATGGAGTTCCGATTCCGATTCGTTGCAATTCTTTTCGAGCTGGAGTGCATTTCCACGAGTCTGTCCGCCGAAGAACTGCGGACCTTTGAGTATCGCATCGAAGGTGTGTTTGAATGCATTTCCTTGAGTTTGTCTGCCGAGGCACTGCGTGGTGGTGCTCGTTTTTTCTCACTTATTGGGTAAGTGCTATCGTTTCCGGAGAGTTTTTCCTTCTTCACCGCGCTGACACGGTGCTTTTTTGGACCCTTCTTCGACGCCGCTGCCATGTCCGAAATAAAATCTGCCGAGTTGCTACGGCGAGAGCTGGCCTTTTTAGTGGCGAATCGCTGTGGGCTGAAAGACCTACTTGCATGGAGTGATTGGACTTCTTCTTCGTCATTAGAGCTATTGTCATCCCTGTCTCTGTTAACGATCGAGATCCTACCGGCCCGACTGCGAGCAAATTCTTCCTCTTCCGTTTCTTCGTCCTTGGGCTTTTTGGGAGAAATTCCTTTCGCCATCTGTTTGGCATTGTTTTCGGTAGTAGTTGTGGTAGTGGTGTCTGTCACACACGAAGTTGAATCCCGAAACATCGTATCCGATTCGTCGTCATCGCCGTCCGATTCATTTGTTTGTTCCAGCTTCTTCTGAGATACATCCCCTTTTTTYTTCTTCTTTTTCTTTTTCTTCTTCGTGCTACTGTCGATGTCCCTTTGCTTTTCACTGTGGTCGTCAAAGTTCTCGATGTCGCTTYCCAAGACGTTTGTCTTGGACTGTTTCTTGGCGGCCTTCTTTTTCTTCTTTTTTGACGCATTTCTATCGATCTTGGGTGCGGCAGAGGAAGAAGACAGGGTTGATGGATTTGATTCTGCTGCCCCTGATACCTCTTTTGTTGCTTTCTTTTTTTTCTTTTTTTCTTTGGCGATCTTAGTGGGGATCGCCGTGGAGCTTCCCTCTTTGTCTTTCAAGCTTGAATCGAAGTCATCTGCTATAGATGCACGCTTCTTCGATTTTGAAGATGACGGTTTCCCTTCTTTTCCCTCTTCTGACATGGCGCCAAGATAGCCCTATCGTTGTGATTGAATGAGAGGAAAAATCGACAACAGATATGGATTCTATTATAGCCACGAAAGACAGAACACACTAATCTAACAAYTAAGTGATGTCGCGTTCTTCCTAAGGAGATCCGATATTCATTCCAAACGCTTGAATGTGATGCCTTGCTTCTGTAGCAACTTTGAGTTCGGTCCGTTGATATKGCGATTTTGGATGTATTGGGYGTTGTAGCCGATGGTAATGATAGTGTTCTTATGTGCCCGAGGCTGTGATTTTGATTTTGTATCAAGTCCAAAGGTGCTGGATCTTCGATTGGCACGACAGCTTCTCGAGGGTTCGTGCTTTCAAGTTCAGTTCTGGCATCGTACGTGCTACTGTACGTATTATTATTGTTCAATTGTTCAATTGTTCAATTCGTTTATCTGTTGAACGGCGGTTTCCGAGTTTTCTTTAGGTTAAGTCTTTTGCGCCACTTGTTCGACATGCAGTGAAAAAAGTCATTGTGAATCACCATTCTTCAATACGCAATGACTCTTTCCATCAAAAAATGAAGGATCACTCGTAGGATTGACAAATCAGGAAAGATCTTTTTGGGATTTGAGTTGTTTGAGACGACCAGTCGCAGTGTGCAAGTACATACGTACCCAAGTACTTTTGGTGAGTACGTTCCATATGTACGGACTACTTCGTGGGAGTGTGGAAATAAGGTACGTACCGTACGGTAACTCGTACGATACAGGACATCTTAAGTAAACGAGTTTTCAGTTGTCACGTTCTAAATGTCTGATGAAGTTTTGGAGAGACAGTACGTACTGTTCAGTAACAGTCACAATCTCATGAAAAATCTGGTAGTAGTCATACCACGAGTAATCAGAACGAACAGTTCGTACCTGTACTCGTAACTGTATCCGTACGAGTACGAACCGTAGCAGTGGAGGGAGACAAAGAAATGCTCGGAAGTCTTGTCGTACGAGTACGACTAGATCTTGCTGGCGATCGATTCTTCTGCTTCCCCTAGGCAATCACCTTTCAACACACTAATACTTCTACACTTTATTACCATCATGGCAAAAACGATACGAAAGCCACTTACGCAATTGACTGTTCGGGGAAACTCCACGGCGGCCAGCGACATCGAAACTGCCATCGCTGCAGTCGCTGCCGCAAGTCACAATAACATCGATGCAAGCGATAATGCAAGCGATAATGCAAATGATGGCGCAATTACGGCGGTAAAAAATGGCGGAGCTGGTGGTGGCAACACGCTGGATCTTTACGATGTGTTCCTGACGCCAACGCTGGTAGAAGAGGTCATCGAGTTGATCCGATTGCACTCCGAATGGGAATCGATCATTGTATGGAATTGCGCCGGCGACCCCGGGTTGTGCGCGGATCTCTTCCTGGCCTGCACCACCCACCAGAACATAAAATCCTTCGCACTGAAACCHACRCCCGGCAACACCTCGATGCCAACTCCGGCCGCGACGATGGATGCGCTGGCGTACGGGATCAAGTACAACTCTCGCTTGACGAAACTGGAAATGCGGGGCCTTCGATTGAACGTTGCCGTGGCAGATTTGATCTCCAGGGCGTTGCTGAGGAATACTACCCTGCGCGAACTGGGAATGGACGAAACCCATTTCTTGCTGGAGCCCGACACCGGCGACAACGTGCAGAAAAACTCGGCGGTCCAAATTCTTTCCTTTGGTCTGAGGTTCAACAAGTCGATCGAATGCCTCTCCTTCGATTACTGCGTCAACCTCGAAGACGAGGACGTCGCCATGCTGATCAATGCCGTCAATTCGTACGACACAATTCTGCGCCGCCTGTCTCTCCAGTACAGCCCGTGCATGAGCGAGGGAATGGGGGCGATCGCCGATTTGCTGCGGGGAAAYGTCATAGAAGACCTCGACCTGAGCTATCTCGTGCGGCGTCGCAAGCGTCCCAAGAAGGAAACGGAGAAAAAAGAGGACGAGACCAAAACGMAGGAAGACGACGACAAGGAAGCCGCACAGGAAGAGACRCAAGAGAGCGAAGAAGAGAGCGATGGAGGCGAAAGCACAACCGATGCCGAGCCCAAATCGGAACCAGAAACAGAAAAAACGGACGACGTGGACAGAGCGGAACAACAGAAAGTGGGAAAGGCCGAATCGGACAAGGAGGACGACCCGCACAAACTCAGGAACACGTCTCTCAAGCGTCTGGCCATGGTGGGCAACGGTCTCAACGACGACTACCTGGTGGGCCTGCTCGACATTTTCACTCCGAAACGCAAGAAGGGCAACCCCGGGGAGCTGGAATACTCSAACCTCGAGGAACTGAAYCTGTTCGGGAACCGGTTCTCGAACTACGGAATCAAGGAGCTGCTGAAATCGCTGCCACGATTCCCCTTCATGCAGCGCCTCTACCTGGGCTTCCAGCAGGCACCGGCCGTGTCGCCGCTGCTCGCGAGGCTCGCCTCCGGAACCGATCGGACCGAGCCGTTCACCCCGGGCTCCCTGGAGAAGGAATTTGTCCGGGCGGTCGCCGACGTCCCCGAAAACTTCCGGCTGGCCGAGGTCCACATCATGGCCAAGACGAAAGAGGACAAGGCCGTGAACCGGATTCTGAGGTACTACACGAGGCTCAACTCCGCCGGGCGGAGGATACTGGCTGCCCCCCCGGGGGGTTCGTCCGGCGGAAGCGGCAACCCTTGTCCGGTGCCGACGAAGAACGTCCCCCTCGGTCTGTGGCCGCTGGTTTTGGAACGGGCGAACAAGCTGCACCCGCTGCCGTCCTCCTCGTCTCCGGGAAGCGCGGYGCAAGCGAAGGAACCCAGCGACGATCCAGAGAATGCTCTCCACGCGGGAGACGTGGYKTTTTGCCTCCTCCACGGGCCGATGCTGTTCGAGAATCCGTACCTGGTGGGCAACGATGGACAATAACACGGCAAACCACGGGGTTGGGTTCCCTCTGGTTTCTCGGTAGCTTTTACGAAATTTAAATCAAATGCTTTTTGATCAATCTTCTCTTTTTCTACAACACTTTCAGTACTTCACTTCACTTGGTTTTCAGTGATGTGTTCGTTATCCTGTCGGTCGGAGCTAGTTCAAGAATGCTCCGAACAAGAATGTTCCTCTATGAATGACTACTACTGGCGGTTTTAGGAAGAAGAAGAATTCCTGCTCCTCTCCTTCTTCTGCTGCCTGCTGCTGCAATACCAGAATTTACCACACCAGAGTAAGAAAAGCAAGAACAAGCATAAACTACTATTACGAACCRGAACAACATGACATAACATGACACAAAATGACATGATATGACATACCACACCAGAGAAAGGAAAGCAAGAAAAAGCTCAAACTACTATTACTAACCAGAAYAACATGACATAAAATGACATGACATGACATGACATAATATGACACGATTTAGGCTCACAATGACATGCTATTGCACCAATGCTGCCTTTAGGCGAAACATGGTTAAATGCATAGTATTGTATTGGTCTGCTTCGGGGGCACTGGAAGTCGAAGGTGTCATCGCACGCCACCACCAGCAATGAGTTACACTGTATAAGCTGGCATCTCATTCCCGTAACTTTATTGTCTTGCCATGTTCCATAGTTAAAACCCTACTGCCTCTARAACTAAATAGATTGCTCCGGAAAGTTTCTTGAAAATCCACCCCCCAGACCCCCCTTCCGCTGAAGCGAAAAAATTAGTCTTCGACTTCCATGATTGTACTTGTAACCACTTCGTCACATAGGCTTGCTGCGTTACCAGCACCTTGTACTTAACAAACAACGTSTTCTTCGTTACTTATTGGTTTTGGATGGTTGGGCCTACGCGGTAGATCGCCGGGCCCCATGGATGCTCTGTTGTGGACCGTCGTGACGTCTTTCTTTCGATGGAAGCCTCCCTCGGTTCCTCAATCAACACCGTACCACCCGGAATTTTCCTGGTTTCGAGCTATCAAGTGATGTTTTTGATCGCATGAATCGATTGAGAGAAAAGAATTTCCCCTTGAACCCGAAGAGTTCTAGAGAGCTCCTCGCGCGCGGGTTGGAGATTCTTGTTCTTCAACTTTCATGCAGTGGTACACAATACCCCGTATTAATTGGTTGACGTGAACTTCAAAGAAAGACATAGGTTTCCGGGACCGATCTGTCTTGAGTTGTCACCGAACCCAAGAATATCCTTCCACATGCTTAAGTAGTTTCGAGGCGAAGAGAAGAAGATGATGCATAGCGTCATCGAAGTGAAAAAAATAATATATTGCCAGACTTAATATATTAAATGTCATTGAAGAATACTATTATATATGAACTCTTGGTTGAAGTAATTAACCTTAAGAAATAGGTTTCGGACAAAAATAACAAAAATGCTTGTCTACGTATTGAATTATATGCGCTATCATCTTGGAGAAGAATATTCCCGTAACGGTACTGGAGTGTTSCAGTTCTTGCCTCCTTTGTGTGCACGTGTTATTCTTGTACTGTAATTTGGTTTTGTCACCCTCCAGCATAAATCCTGCCAGCGGTTTTTCTCTCACGTTTTCACCCGTTTTCTGCATTCTGCCTTYGAGGGTCCATGGTATGTGCGGGTCTCTTATAATATCATTCCGATACCGTTTCGAGATCGATCTTCATAGTATCCAGGGGTTGCAAACCAAGGAATGAAAAACAAATCAGAGGCGAAACAAACAATCACAAGCCGACACCGAAAACCAGTTTCACATTCTGTATCGTACCGTAGCGTCACAGTCACAGCGAAGCCAGTTCGTTTTCGTTCCGAATGGCATTGAATGCAATCAAATCCTCAAAGTGAAGGAAACGGTGGTTTCGCAACAAGAACACAGAGACAAAGACGAAAACCAAGACCGAACAGAGACCAAGACAAACACTAGCTTGCCAGAATGAACAGGCCCGTCCACCGACCGAGAACGGCTGCCGTTTCTCCCATCCCGGACGATCGGCGCAGAGCCTCYGTCCAGGGCCCCACCAGCCGGCGCAACGAGAGGCCGCTGGAGTCCATGGTGATGGCGAAGTCGTCCTCCATGGACAAGATCTACACGAGCCGCAGCCGGAGAAGGAGCCGCTCGGGATCGCCTGCCCGCCGGCCCGGCTTCGAGAAGGAAACCTCGCGMAGGTCGAAATCCCGCCCCAGCCGGAGCCACCAGCACCGCGATTCATCGGTCCGGTCTCGGAGAGCGAGGTCGCGCTCTTCGCCGAGGAAATCTTCCGTCTCCGAGCCGAGAGCGAGGTCGCGCTCCTCGCCGAGGAAATCCTCCGTCTCCGTCTCCGAGCCGAGAAGGAGGTCGCGCTCTTCGCCGAGGAAATCCTCCGTCTCTAGGCCGCAGGAAAAGTTGAGGGAGCAGGAGGCCCGCCTTTTCCTGTTGACGGCGCAGAGGATGCCCTCGGTGAACAAGATCGTGACCCAGAGTTCCTGGAGCACTACGGAGGAGAAGGGCTCGGAACGGGCGGAACGAAGAAGCATCGAAGGAAGCATGCGGGGGAGACGAAGAAGCATCGAAGGAAACACCGAAGGAAGCGTGCGGGGGAGACGAAGAAGCATCGAAGGAAGCATGCGGG